GACACTGCCAACATGTTTTCTAAAGTAGCTATAGCAATTTTGCATTCCCACCAGCAATGTATAAGAATTCCAGTTATTGCCCTGGCTGGTGTGGATTAGTGGATTGAATGTCAGCCTGCAAACCAAAGAGTTGCCTGTTCGATTCCCAGTCAGGGCACATGCCTGGGTTGTGGGCCAGGTCCCCAGTAGGGGGTGCTCAATAGGCAACCACATATTGATATTTCTCCCCCTCTCTAAAAATAAATAAATTTTTTTTAAAACATCTTTAAAAGAAAAAAAGAGTTCCAGTTACTCTGCATCCTAGTCCTCACTTGATATTGTACTTTTTATTTTAGGAATTCTAAATAGTGGTGTCTCACTGTGGTTTTAATTTGCATTTCGCTAATGACTAATGATATTGAGCATCTTTTCGTGTGCTTCTCCATATATCTTGCCATCCATATTTTTTTGCCACCCACATATCTTCATTGGTGGAACATCTGTTCAAGTCTTCTGCCCTTTCAACTGTGTTGTTGGTTCTTGTTAAATTTTGAGTTCTTTATACAAGTATATGTCATTTATCAGTTATGTAATTTGTAATTTTTTTCTGAATCTGTGACTTGACTTCATTCTCTTAACAGTGTCTTTTAAGAAATCCAATTTACAAGTGTTTTCTTTTACAGATCGTACTTTTGGAGTTGCATCTAAAAATACCTTTGCCTAAATCAAGACCACAAAGATGTTCTCTTATTTTTTTTTCTAGAAGTTTTATAGTTTTAAGTTTCATATTATGGTTTATGATCCATTTTTATTTAATTTTTGTAGATGGTAAGTAGAGATCAAGGTCCAATTATTTGTATGTAGGTATCCGTTTGTCCCAGTACTATTTGTTGAACACAAATATTGAACACTCGTGCCAATATTGATTTAACATTAGAGTTTTTTCCCCTGTAAACTGTACTTTTCCACCACGTGTCAATTACTTGGGTTGTTCATTCATTCATCTATCATCATTCACTTCCTCTTGCTTACTTAATTCCAGCCATACTGCTCTTCTAGCTATTCCTCTAACATGGCCATGATGGACCTGCCTCAGGGCCTTTGTTCTTGCCATTCCCTCAGTCTGAAATGCTCTTCTTCCAAATGTCCACATAGCTCACTCCTTCACTTTATTCAGGTCTCTGTTCAAATATCCTTATTTAAGAGCACTTCCATGAAGACTCTATTTAAAATGTCTCTCCCAACTCTATCTTGTGCTACTGTTTTACCCTGCTTTACTTCTTTTCATAGCATGTATCACAATCTGATATATTATATATTTATTATCTTATTTGTCTACTGACTATAATCTCCTTCCCCCAACTACTCTCAGAATGTTAAGCACCACAAGAGCAGGAATTTCTTCTGTTCTATTCACTGTGTTCCTGGTGCCTAGAACAATTCCTGTATATAACTGATACTTAATAAAGGGTCAGTGATCTTACTGAATAAAATCAAACAAGAAATATCTACTGAGTGCCTACTAGGTACCAGGCAGCATGCTAGGCCTGGTGGTACAATAGAGAGAAAAACAGACATAGTCCCTGCCTTCATGGGGCTCAAAGACCACCAGAAAAGAAGGATATTAACCTAAATAATTACAGCAATGAAATGGGTAATAGCTTCTGGGTCTTGAAGAAGTACATGGTGCTGGGGAGTTTATAACCTAGTCTCAGGGAATTAGTCACAGAGGTGAGGGAAGGCTTCTCTGGAGGAAGGGTGACTGAGCTGAGAGCTAAAGATGGAAAGTGGTAACTGCATGAGGAAAGGGGAGAAGGGGCCTCTGGGCATCTGACACTTCATGGACAAAGACCCTGTGCGGGGAAGGAGCTTGGCGTGTCTGGGGAACTGAAAGAGATGGGTGCCCCTGGGGGTAGGGAGTCGAGCAAGGAGAGAGGCGCGCACTGAGGCCGGGGTGTGAGCGGGAAGCGCACGGGCTGGGTCACGCAAGGCCAGTGGGGGCTGCCTTTCCTTCATGAGTGAAGGGAAGACATCGAAGGCTGGTTTCACCTCTTCTCCCACCCAATGTACACGGAACATAATAAACACTCAACGAAAGATGTTCCCATGTTGAAAATGCTCTTACATGTTGCTAGTGGAAGTGTAAATTGATGCAACTTCTACGAGTGATTTTACCACATCATTCAAAATTACAAATGTATATACCTTCCACCCAGCAATTCCCTTCTAGAAACTTGCTCTACAGGTAGACTTGGCCATGTATGAAATGACATTTGTACTGGATTATTCACTGTGGTGTTGTTTGCAATGGCAGAAGAATAGAAACTAACCAGATGTCTCTCAATAGGAGATTACTGAAAAAAACTGTGATGCCTCCATCCGCTGGACTAAAATGAACCATAAGAAGAAGAAAAAGAAAAATGAATGAAGACTTTTACGCATTTAAAAAAAAAAATTCCAAGATGTATTGTAAAGTTAAAAAAAAACAAGATTCATGGCAGACTTTATAAATGACTATTGTTTGTGTGGGTTCATAAAAAGCAAACAAACCAGGCAAAGGAAAATAATATGTATAGCTTTTCTATGCATAGCGCATCTCTAAAAGGAGACCTAAGTAACCGCCAACGTAACGTTGCTTCACCGCTAGGGAGGGACACCGGCAGCTGGGAAGCGGGTCGGAGACTTTGACAAAGTACCTTCTGAATTTTGAACCATGCAAACATCTCACCTGGTCTATAACTAAGTAAATTTGCATGACAATTATTCATTAGTTAAGTGAACTAATTAATAAGAAAATTAATTTATTAAACAAATGGCTTCCAGGTGGTACGCCCCTCTATTTGGAGAAAAACAATTAGGGAGTCCTGGCCCCTGCCCTACTCCCTAATTCTTGCTACAATCCCCATGGGAATCCCCCAACGGAGGAGCCCTTGGGCCTTTGGAAAAGTGGGTGGGTTGAAAATATTTATTCTGGTCAATTGGCATCATTTCCAGGAAAGGGTCCCCCTCTTTCATCCCCAAACCAGCTTGTCTTGTGGCCTCAAAGAGACACATCAGTCTGGGGACTTTCCTGAGCTTTTTAAATTAGTCTTCTTGCTGAAAAGCTGTACTTTTGGTCTCTGAAGTAGCAAGTGGTCCCTAAGATGCAGTATCACTTCACCACATCCCTCCATATTCTTATTAAAAAGTCTGATATTCAGTGCTTCCCTGTATAAAGATAAGTATCCAGAAGTCCTCGCAATATTAGGAAAAGCAGCACAAAGTGGGTGAGGCCAGAATGTCTGGGCTCCCCAATTGCAACAACCGAAGCGTGTGATCAGTGAGTTCTGATTAAATTCCTGCACAAAGGACAGTTGATAGCACAGGTACAGGTCTCGGGCCACTCGATGTCATCACCCTGGCTTGATAAGGAGGATGAAAGGGAGACCAGCGGGCTCAGCTCCAGGAGTTCCATTTTTCTGGGAGGGGGAGGGGGATGCCAGGAGCTAATGAAGGAAAGCTGCTGTGAGCTCTGTCCTGGAGTCCCCTCTGGCAGGCCTGAAGCTTGGACCGGGCCCACGGGTCTGGGAAGGGACAAGTAAGTGAAAGGAGCAACAGAAAAGAATGAGAACAGAGGAGGAATGGGGATCTCCCACTTGCCGTCTCTGTGCTATAATGTGATCATTTCTAAATAACCCTGTTGAACAAGGATTACTGCCTCCCCCACCCATACACCTATCCCATTTTACAGATGAGGAAACTGAGGCTCAGAAAAGTACAGTAACTTGCCTAAGTTCTCACAACTAGCAAGTGCCCAGGTCAGGATATGAGCCCAGGTTTCTCTGATAATAGAATTTGTTCACTTTTTCAGTCACAAACACGTTACTTTTTAAAAACCTATACCATCTGGGGAGGGAGGAAGGCTGGCAGAGAGAGAGGAAGGGGGTGTCGGGGGGAGACATCGATGTGAGTAACATCAATCAGTTGCCTCCTGTACATGACTGACCAGGGATCAAACTCACAGCCTTTTCTTGTACGGGACAACACTGTAGCCAACTGAGCCACATGGCCAGGTCACCATTTTTCTTTTAAATATGGCATCTCGATATGCTATTTAGTATCTATAAAATATTTTTATTCTAAAGACAAAGGAGATGAATTCTTTTTTCTTTTCCTTGTTACCATGGGTTCATCCATATGAGCTGAATGAGGGAATCTCAAGTCCTTTTACCAGTCAGGAAGACAGGAGCACAGGGGAGGGAAAGGAACCCGTGCATAGCAGGACAGGCTGTCTCAGGAAGCAATTGGTGGCAGCAGGACTCGAGACATTACCCCAAAGATCAGCCTCCAGATGTGACAGGTTCTCTCAAGGAGGCCTGATGTCCTTTGAAAGCAGCTGCCTATCATTGCACAGATAGACGTAGAACAGGGGTGTCCAATCTTTTGACGTCTCTGCGCCACACTGGAAGAATTGTTGTCTTGGGCCGCACGTTAAATACATTGCGACAGGTGACTCCAAAAAGTCTCATAATGTTTTAAATAAATTTACGATTTTGTGTTGGGCCTCATTCACAGGCATCCTGAGCCACCCCCAGGAGCCAGCCACAGGCAAGGGACTCTACTCTCCCAAACCCTGGCCAGCATTTGCTCACACCTCTCCTGCTGGTGGGAGGCCAGGGATACGACCGACCCACTGTTGTGATCAAGCTACATCCCTGCCAACCAAGGACGGACCCCTGACTTCGTAGGGGCTGAACAACAGGGGAGGGGAGGGAGGTTGGTTCAGCTGTGGGACGGGCCTGAAACCCCTCAGGTCGCCCTCATCCTGGCAGGCAAACCCGACCTCATCAACTGCTGTCTAGCAGTGGAACCAGCACCTGGTCACCATCTCTGAAGAGTGTTCCCCTCCTGGGCAGCTTTCTGTCTGCCTTCTCTAAGTCCTCAACACCCGGTATGACAGTTAGCACACAGTAGGGAACAACATATGGTAAGAAGGCACCAGAGCTTTCACAAATTGATGTATTTATTTCATTATCTGCTGATCTGTCGAGTGCACATAGATGTACCTGAGGCACTTTAAATCATATAAATGCTAGGACACAAACGCATGCTAGCTCATCGCTCTGGCTGAGAGTCCTTCGGGGTACTCAGGTCCCAGTGTGGCTTCTCTCTGTGTCTTCTGGTTGCTCCACCTGCTTGGCCAGGTCCCCCAACCCTTCCCTGCTGCTCTCCCTCCTTCTTCAGCCCCCCTCCCGCCCTCACGGTCTCCCTTCCTTCTCCCCTTCCCTGCTGCTCTCCTTTCCCTCCCAAATCTGTGCTGTTTGGTAGATTCGGACCTAGCTTAGTAGCTTTGTGACCCTGAAAAGGGGCTCAGCCTCTCTGAGCTCCCATCTCCTGCCTGCAAAGCAGGGCTCCCTAGTGGCTGTAGCTGCAAGAGCACTTGGCACACATTACTCCTCTCCACGGCCCTCGAGGTAGGTACGCTCATTACTCCACCGGATAGACAGGGTGGACCAGGCTGCCAGGGGCGAGGTAAGTTACCCAAGCACAACTTGAGTGGAATTGCCATGTGACCCAGGTCCGTCTTTCTCCACCAAGTTCAGGCTCACAAGAACCCATACGACTGCTTGTTGGCTTCCTCCTTCCCCTCCTTCCAAGATGGTGGCAAAAGGAAGGAAGGGACAATCAAGACAGATCGCAGGTTAAACATGCCGATGCTACATGTTGGCGTTCTTCCGCGTTTCATGCAGACTGCATTACACCCATCTGGGGCTCCGTAAACTCCATGAAGGCAAAGACCAGGGCTCTGCTTCTCTGGGCAGGGAGGGGCAGCGTCCGGAAGCGCAGATGCTCGGCTGAGTGCTGGGCGCAGTGCAACAGTGAGCGCTCAGGGGCCTGGGGGAAGGCAGGGAAGGCAACAGGCAGGGACAGGCCGAGTCCACAGGCAAACAAGACCTGATGCGGAGTGGGCTAGAGAGAGATGCGTGGAGCACTGTGGGAGCAGAGGAGGGACGGGGAGGACGGCTTCCCCTGTGGGACGTTTACTGGTACCACCGCATACCATGTCCTGTGATAGGCTCTTTGACTTCATCTTATTTAATTCTCACAGGGGAGGAAACCGAGCTCAAAGTCAACACCCTTGAAAATCCACTGAGCTGGGATTCAAATCCAGATCTGTCTGGTTCTAAAATCCATGCTTTGTCATCTATGCAGGCTGCCATCCGAGGGGACACCCACTCTGGGTCTCAAAGGATGACGTCCAGGATAAATGAATCACTTCCAGAACAAAGTGAAAAAATACATTCTCCCCAAATCTCACATCATAACTGGCTGGAAAAGCTGACATAAATGTCACTGGGGACACAAACATGCCGAGAAGAGCCATCTGAGCAAATGTCAGCTTCTCCTACCCCTGATTTCTTGCTCTCTCAACCGACAAGACCAATGGATAGTCCAGAACTGCGGCTACTGATTCGTTCCAGGGGCAGTGAGGTCTCTCAACTTCAGTGTCTCCAGGACAGCTTCACTCGGAGTCTCAGTTTTGTTTTTTATACTGCAAGACAGAGGGATCATCAGAGGTGGGTGAGGGAAGCGATGGGAGAGGGAGGACCTATGGCCCTCCAGGCTGCAGGCGTCCCCTGCAGGGGCTTCCTGAAGGTGGTGGAATCTCTAGTTGGCGCCTGGGTCCCCCCTTTCTTCTTTAATGGCAAAGGTAGTCGATGGGGCTGGGAAGAAGGATAAGAAAGACACTGGGGAGTTAGAACTACACATACTGGCACGCCCAGCGTTCTCTTTAAGATGAGTCTTGTTTGGAAGGGGAAAAACCCCTCAGGTAGAGGAGGAACCTCAGAAGCCATCTAGTGCAATCACTGGGTTTTAAAAAATGAATTCTGGGCCCAATATCCTCATATTCTGAATTAGAAGAAGAGGGAAATGGGGTACGTTCTGGCTCTCTAGGTTTTCTAATGGCAAAGTGTAAGGACCAGCAAGCCAGTCTGCATTCCTGACTCCCGTCCTTTCTTCGCCACAACAGGTACTGGAATGTGTCCTTAGTAACCCTGCCTCAGTGTGGGTACTCACAGAGACAGGGAGCACCCTACCTCCCCACCACTCTCTCTTGTCTGAGACACCAGAGGGCAGCTGCCAGCTTTGTCATTACTGCTTCCAGCAAGGCTGCTCTCTTCCTTCTTCCTGCTGCCCCATCTCAGTTTATTCAGAACTGTCAGGCAAAAATTTGCCTTTAGGAATGAAGGGTGCGTTCCTCCCTCCTCCAACATACACACAAATGCAATCAGAAGGGCATCTGCCATCCATCGCCTTTTGGCTCCCAGAGGCTGGGAGCAGCTAGATTATTCTCAGAGGTTGAGCAGAGGCGACCCCTGTTGGTCACGGAGATTATAGCTCATGGGAATGAGAGCCAAGCACTTACTTTGTTCATGATCCAGTCGGCATCTTCAATGGCTCTTTTAATAATCTGCTGGATTCTCTCAGGATTGTCTTCATCTGCATGAACCCGGAAACTCTGAAAGTTTAAGCATAAAAAAAGATGATAGCAAAATTCACAAGACCAGTAGCCACAGAGCCCCAGTCGCAGGCCAGGCACACTGTGGCCGCTTTACACTCAGCATCTCACTTACCCCTCCGTAGAGAGTTAGGGTACCACACAGAGACAAGGAAACAGAAGCTCAGAAGCCTTAACCTGCTGCTAAGCGATGATGTCAGTCTTTGAATCCTGGTCTATTCGACTGCATACTCCTGCCAGCAGGGCAGTTGTGAAAACAAAGCGTGGTCCCCAAGTTACCCCCAAATCAAGCTGGGCCCAAAGGTTATCTTATCAGGCAGGGGGAATGAGGTCAGTGGAGGGTCTAATGGAAATTTCCATCTCTGTGTTTCATTTGCTCCTCCCAGGAAGCTGCATTCACTCGGATGAGGTCTCTGCTTGGCTTCACAACAGTGAAGAATGGGGCTTCTCCTGGCCCAGCAGGGAAGGAAGGGGCCTGGAGGGGGTGGTCTGGGGAAACCCAGCCAGGCCCAGTGCGGAGCCCAGGCTGCCGTGGGCGTTCGATGAGATGCGCACGCTGCAGAAGCAGCAGGAGATTCGGGTTCATGCAGGGCACTCCGGGCCCATCAAAAGTACTGGTACTTTTGCCCTGTGACTCTGGACCCCACACCTCCTCCTGCCTGTCTTTAGGAGCACGCACCTCAAGTGCTCGCCTCCGGGAAGTCCTCGCTGACTTCCTCAGACAACCACCTGCTCCCTTCTCCACGTTTCCACAGCCGTCCATTGCTTCCTCTATCTTTTTACTTTCCACATTATATGTGTTATTAATTTTAGCTTTTAACTTTTTACTTAAAAGTAATTTCTAACCTATAGAAAAGCTGCCAAGAACAATACAAAAGAATTGCCTTCAGAATCACCAACTTTTAACATTTTGTCACATTTGCTTCATCATTCTCTCTTTATGTGTTTGTATAAAAGTTTTGGAAGCATTTAAAAGTTGCAGGAAAGCTGTTAACCCCAAAACACTTTGGTGTGTATTTCCTAACAACAAGGTATCTCTTAATAACCACAGTACTCAAACTCAGAAAGTTGAACATTGATAAAGTATGGCTATCTCTATCTCATTTATAGCCCATATTCCAATTTCATGAATTTCCCCAATAATATCCTTACAATAACTGTTTTTCCTGGCTCAGGATCCAATCTGGAATCGTGCATTACATTTAGCAGTCACATCTCTTTAGTCCCCTTTAAACCAGGGTGGTCCTTATGCCTTTCTTTGTGTTTCATGACATTGGCATGTTGACAAGAACAGGCCAGTTATGTGGTAGATGGTCCCTCAGTTTACTGATGTTTTCTCATGGTTCAATACAGGTGTACTTTGTTGACAAAAACCCCTGTCAAAATGATGCGTCCCACACTATTTTAACTATCTGTCCAGCCGCCTAATCCAAGGCCTGGCGCAGAGCTGGTGGGCTGGGTGATGTATCCATTGTGTTTCCTCAACAAAACCAGAGAGAAGAGCTGAGTTGCCCAGCACTGACTTCCAGTGGCTCTTACCAAAATGCCACCCCACCATTCCCTGAAAGACCATCCCTGCTCCTGCCCCTGGCTCCCGCCCCTGCAAGAGGCCCCCTGTGAAAGAAGCACCCCCAGCCCCAGGCCCGGAAGACCCTGCTCGCACCTGCCGGATGGTGTGTTTGTAATGCTCCTGGATGCCCTTGGCAGGCAGCTGGCGGCAACAGCGCAGCAGGTATCGGTAGAGCTGCAGCGGCCTCTGGACCAGCTCTGCCCCTGGGAGCGGCGCCATCTGCAGGCTGTGTGTCCCTGGAAAGCACAGAGCATCACTTCTAAGGCATCGGGCCATGACTCTCAGCCCCGGCCCCCAGGTTCCAGTGCTCTGCAGAGTAGGCTTGATAACAGCGTGGAGGCGAGGGCCCCCTGATGCCACACCTCACGGGACCCAGACCCTGAGCCCCAGCTGGGCATTCAGTCTTGCAGAAGCCTCAGTCCAGAGCAGGCCAGCAGGGAACAAAAGTGAGGTATTCAGCCTCATCCTGGCATCTTCTTTCTGGACACCATCATCAGGTAGTAGGTAAGGAGGCATCACTGACAGGCAGAGTAAGGGAGACAAGCAAGACAACCCCGCATTACAATTGCTGAGAAATCATCTAACCTCAAGTAACAGAGGGCAGGATACCCGAAGGTCTGAACCTCCCTATTCAAAGTGCGGCCAATAGCACCAACACCACCTGGAAGTTTGTTAGAAATGCAGTCTCAACCCCCACCCCAGACCTACTAAACAGAACCTGCACTGTAGTAAGATGCCCAGGAGATTCGTATGCATGTGAAAGTTTGAGAAATACAACCCTAGAGGGCTCTGCATGAAGCGGCAGCTGCAGGCAGCGTTGTCATGGAGCACGATTTCATTTTACTGTGTTATAAACAGGAATAATAATGAGCTCTTGTTCCGTCCTAATTGCTTTACATGTGATTAGTGCACACATTTTAAAAAATCAGCACAGACAGGTCTGACAACTTGCCCAAGGTCAAACAGCTGGTAAGGATAGAGCTATGATTTGAACTCAGACAGGCTCCAGAGCCCAGATTTTTTTTTTTTAAATTTTAAAGCTTTATTGAGATGTACTTAACATACAATCACATATTTAAAGTGTACAATTAGATAAGTTTTGACATATGTATACACCTAAGAAACCGTCATCGCAATCAAGAGCAAACATCTCCATCCCCCCGAGTCTCCTCTTGCCTCTGTAATCCGCCCTCCAGCTCTCGCCACTCTCCCATCCCAAAGCAGCCTCTGCTTTCTGTCACTACAGATTAGTTTGCTGAGTTTTACATAAAGGAATCATGTGTCATGTACTCCTTTGTGTCTGCAGAATCCATATTTTTATGCTTTGTCTTTATAATGGCTCTTTCCAAAGAATCCGCAACTCTAATCTGGCCTCTTATTTTTTGAAGTAGGAAACTCAATTAAGAGCATAGAGATTTTTTTTCCAATGGTAGATTCTAGAACACAAGGATTTGTTAAGGTTCCCTTAAGTACCTCCTGGCCCCTAACTGTCCCCTCCTTTATGCGCACTGCCCTGTAGGCTCCTGCCAGGACCTCTGCCACAGCATCTTGCCTGGTGTCCCTGCCTCCAGCCTGTCACTTCCCAGTCTCCTCCAGACCAATGCCTGGGCTCATCCCACAATCAGCCGCAAAGACCTTCTCCCAGATCCCCCAAAATGGCAAGTAAGCCCCTTTGAACCCACAGCTCCCTGAGCGTGGAGCTCCCTTCCCCTCTCCCCATGAGGAACTCGTGCTTATCCTAACAGGTCCATCTCATTGTCACTTCCTCTGGGAAGTCCTTCCTGACTGTCCCTCCCAGGGGCCAGCAGTGCCCTGTTTATGGGGCTGATACAGCGCTTCCCACACTGCCTGGGATTCGTCTGCTGCCAGGCCTGTGGAGCCTGGTCCAGGCCCCAGCACTTCGTGCCCTGTTTATTGAACTGGACTGAATGGAATCTGTTATCTCTTCTATACAGATTTCCCCTCCATGACAGAGAAGCTCACTATGTTCCAAATGAAGGAGCTAAAAGACCAAGATTAAATGACTGGCCTTAGTTTTAAAGCAACATTGAAAAAGAAAAAAATAGACAACTACTCCCCCTCAAAAAAAAAAAGAAGAAGAAGAAGAAGAACCAGAATTCTACATCTATCAGAGGTCCTTCAACTAAGAAAAGAAATGCATTAAGTAGCTGGTTTCAGAGGCTCCTTCATTCCTTTTGAAGCATGTTATCTGCCTGGCAACAATAAATGTCAGTCTCCACAGCTAAGTTTGCCAATCGCTTGTGGTACTCTGGGCTCTCTCTGTGACCCTGGGGTGGGCAGCTGCTTATCTGCCCCCCACCATCCATCCTCCCTTCCGGTAACAGCCCCACATGTGCGGCTGGTGATCTGCTCCTGGCCAGGTCTTAGCCCTCAAGTTCTGGGCGGAGCTCCACTCCAAGCCTGACCAATCAGAGGCCTGCATCCAGTGCCTGCAGGGATTGGTTCACAGATAGGTGCATGATGGGACCTGAGTGAATCTGAACACCTCAGCAGGAGTGACTGGAAAGGACTCAGCTCTTTCTCTTCAGACCTGATGCGGAGAGGACTTATTCTCCCTCAGGAAAGCCATCTTGCCTCCTCTTGAAACCTGAGACTAAAGCCACAGCAGAAGACAGAGCTGAGAATTTGAGCAAAACCTAAATCTGAAGAATTCATTTGAGCTCGAAAACCACCCACCTGACGATAGTCCCACCACTAGACTTTTCAATGATCCAAGACAATCCCATTTGCCAAAGCAGCTTGGGTTTGTTTCAGTCACTTGCAACCAAAAGCACCCAAACTGATTGAGAAATCTTAATCTCCCAAATTCTACGAGCACGAAGATCTGTGATGGTTCCAGCTCTAATGAAGAAGGCGAACAGGGCAGGGTCCCCAAGGTCCTCGTGCACCGGACACCAACTTGCCAGCCTGACCAGCCATGTGTCCATCCAACACACTGAGGGGAACCCCACACAATGGGGCGAAGACCTTAGAGTGCCACCAGAGAAGACAAACCACTGAAGCCCCCAGTGTGATGGGCAGATTCCACTGGCAGGCTTCCTCAAACTATATAAAGTGCTAATCAAATATTGTAAAATGCTAGTGGTATAACAGATGGCTACCAGCTGCAGTCTTCAAAATTAACATTTGGAAAGAGCACAACTTTGTTTCATTACTTTAAAGCCCAAGCAATACTTAGAAACCAACCCAGCAAGTATGGGCGGGAGATTATTTTCAGCTCAATTATAATTCTTAGTCATTCTCAGTAATAACTAGCAGAGAATACATGTGTGGGTCCACTTAGAAGAGTTAAACTAAAAATGTTTAATTTAATTTAAAGTGTGGGTCTGTATTATTTAAGGGCCAGTGAACCTCACAACATAACATCATTGCTAAAACTGTAGTCAAACACTGTGGTCCTAGGTATACTCGCTTTGCATAGCCTGCACCTTGGACTTGACCATAGCCTCTCCACCCGGGTTCCCTGTCACTGTGAAGGCACCGCCATCATCCCAGGCCACCAAACCCAAACCATTGCAGAGCCAACCCAGACTTTTCCTTCTCCCTCAATGCCCATGTCATTAGTCTCGAAGCCCATCAAATCCTACCTCTAAATGCCCCCTCAAATCTGCCCCCTCCTCTCTATTTCCACTGCACATCTTTGGTTAAGGCTCTTATCATAGCTCACACGTCCCCCTGTCTTCCAATCTATTCCCCCACCAACAGCCAGATTCATCCCTCGTCATTCCTCCACCTGCCAGGCGCACTGACACACCACCTATACAGTTCCTTTCATGACAACAACAACAATCGCTTAGCATTATTACTACAACAGCCTTACTGAATAGTTATCATGTGACAGGCCCTATTCTAAACAATGCACATAAATTAACTAATTTTAATCCTCACAATAACGTTACAAGAGGGTACCACTATGCTCTCCTTTTACCAATACCAAAACGGAGGCCAAGAGAAGGCAGGAAATTTGTCCAAGGTCAAGCAGCTGTGAGTGCAGAAGCCAGATTTCCACCCAGGAAGTCTGGCTCCAGAGGCGGTGGTGTGTGCTACCCAAAACACTAACCCCATCCTCCAAATGGACTTTGACTCATCCTGAGGCTGACATTTGAGGTTCTTCCTAACAACCGCCCCCACCCTCCACACACCCTAACTGCTTTTTAAGAGATGCCTTCGTCCCCTTGAGTTTGGCCTGCTGAGGCCCTCACCAGCAGCTCCATCTCTCTAGGCCACAAAGAGAGCATTAGACCCAAGCTAGGCCAACTGAGTATCGGGCTCTTGAACAGGGTTACAAAGAGCTTGAAAATGAGTGCACGCACCCCCGCAGTAGTGTGTCTGATCGGCCTCTTCCTGCTCGGAACTGTCCTTATAGGTCCTGCTGCCTGGCCTTCCAGAAACGTGTAGATTCCTGCATAGTTCCTCAGCCTCCTCCCTTGATTCTGTGAGCTCCTAACGCTCTTCCAATAAATTTCTTTTTGGTTGTGTCCTCCTATCTCCTCTTGGTCCCACACAGAACGAGACTCTCTCCCTCACATGTTTGCCCACAGCCTGTTGTACCTGCGTAGGTCACGGCAGGATCACCCTGCGCTCCCGCTCACCTTTCCATCTCCCCTGCCACACCAAGCTCCCCGAGTGCTGTCAGCCAGTGCTGTCGGAGTCCTCCACCTCCGTTTCCCCGATGCCTAGCACGCAGTGGGCTCCTCCGTAAATGTTTGTTGACCGAATAACCTCCAAATCTAACCAATCCCCAACCTTGAGGAAGCAAGCAACAGCTCAGCCTTCTCCCTGCCTGCAGGCCCTGGGGATCCAAATGTGTCCAAGACAAATCAGAGCCCCTGCCCGCTGTAATGTGACGGCCTCTGCCCTCGGCAGCATCCTCCATGCCCTGGCGATCGCCCCCTTTTCCACGCACCTACTCCAAGCCTATTCCAGTCCCCTCAGGTCCCTGTAACTGACCTGCAGGAACTACCCAGCCAAGCGATACCTCAGTCTGGAGAGGCCATCAGAGAGGAATACCCTCTGGTCTCCCCCACCATGAAATGCATCCTCACCTGAGAGCTGACGGAGGGACTGGTGCACCAAGCATGGTGCTAGACATTTCTACAACAACCCTGTGGCCGAAAGCATTGTCCCCATCTTGCAGCTGTGGAAATTGAGGCTGGAAAGTGAGCCGACACACCTGTGAATGCGCAACTAGGGAGCGGCAGCACTGGGCCGTGAG